TGATTGTCTTTTTTAAAAGTATAGTTTATATTAAAATACGTTTGTTTATTGTAAAATCTTGCTCCACGTAGTGTAACAACCAGCAAGATATACATATTCAAGAATCGTCCCATGAACAATGACAAAAATGAGCCACAGTCATCGATATCGTTAGCTTTTCTGCCACCACTCTTGTCAAATGAACAGCCTTTGACGTCGTCAGATCCGCAGCAACAAACATGAGGTTCACACTGGTGTTACATTGGTCGATCCTCAGGGAAATAATAAGAAAACCAAGCTTTCAAAGTCAACAGGCCCCAGGCAAGACTTAAAACTAAAAAACCCTCAGTCAAACAACAAAACAAGAAACCGAAACCCGATTTTTGCTGACAATTACAGTGATTCACCAGCTGAAGATTGGATTCAGTGTAATCAATGTAGAAATCGGGCGCATGACGACTGCACTTCTTATGTAGAAGTTGGCAGCTAATTCTGTGATGAAAGTGAAGACTGATCTTAGCAAATTCAATTTTATTCTTGCCCTTGGGGCATATACATACATTTTGTCTGACCCCTCTGGGCATAAAGTTTAGTTGATACTTTTAGTTAATTCTCATAATTAATATAGAAATTGTTAAAGTTTTCAAGTTTGTGATTATATTACAAGGATGATGAAAGAAGAGTCCTAGTGATTATTACATTGTGGTTTAATTTACATTCTTCCGTATGTGTGTTGCGCAGGCTTTCCCTATATTATTCACCAAATATGTTACACCAATACCATTTTTCGTTTTGTATAAACATATCTATTTTTTAATTATTGCACTGTTGTCAACATTGCTCATATACATTTTTTTTAAACTTATTTGATACTGCTCTCATTTCAGAATGTTTGTATTACAACTTGCACCACAAATTCCATTCAATACTAATATAATAATTCTAATTCAATATATAGGTAGAGTAAGCAAAACAGATTTTACTCAAAAGAACAAATCAAATCTCCAAACAAAACAATTACTTAATAATAATATATTTAACATCATTTTTATACCGATGAAGACACTTTATCATCTAAAACACCCTCGCTTTTAGCTGAAAAGTTGGATATTATTTTTTTATGAGACATTTATATGCACCCATCTATTTGTAGTAGAAGTGGGTAATAGTTTCAAGGCCCTCATGAAACTATGATAAATACAAATAAAAGAAACTGTAAAATTCTTCATTTACTACAATAGATATAAAGTATATACAGGTTGTATAAAAAACATCCAGTAGTAAGTTTCAAACCTACCACCTTCCCCCACCACCTATCACATTTTAGCCACTTATATTTTCAAAACTGATGAAACTACAAGTTTTCTGTTATTTTTATATAAAGAAGAATACACCAACACAGGGTACCAATGAACTGAGTGGGAAAGGGGTAGGTTATTAATACCAGGAATTAGGCATACCCTAAAAGGTTTACAACCACATTGTGCCCCTGGGAATGATCGAGGGAAATTCCACCATGTTTTCTTGAAGCAAGTAGACTTGACTTAAGCAACCTAACCTAGCATTATCCACACTATCATTCTCCACTGATTCCTTTACATTGTAAGCATACGCAGCAGTACAATATCATATTTTCAATTAAAAGAATAACTTTTATAATTAATAATTCCTATACACATTTACCACTTCTTTCTTTCTTTTTTTGTTTGAATTGTATACCCAATATCTAATTACAAAATACCTAACTTTCAGCTTTAATAAAGACAATGTCACTCCAGTTTAGAATGTTAGGGACTGATTTATAAAAAAAACCTGAACCAAAAATAATTCTCATATTAATTCTGAATAACACAAGAAAACCCAAATAAAACTTTTTGAGTAGTCAAATGTTTGCATTTGTAGAAATGCAAACATTGTGTCCACAGATTAGAAGATGATATACCTCACCACAACACAAAATATAAACCTCTTTTAGAATTTTATAAACCTACAAACTGACTTCGGATACAAACTTTCACCAATCAATTTAGTATTATAGAAGCTCCAGAACAGATATAAAAATATTACTCTTGACTATTCATATAACTTATTAATATTTTTGTGCTCATGAGATAGCTACTAAGCGGCCTCTTGTTGAAATAAAAAATGAGGAAATATTATTAATTTAAGAAGTCTTTAATTACAAAGCTGTAGAGGATGGTCCATTAGCATGGATACCATAGCAAACAATTGATTTAATATTTGATTATCAAGTCTTGCCAAAGACAATGCTTTTATATTACATTGAAACTCCAGTAGAAATTTACACATTTCCAACCAACCATTTGTTACCGTTTTGACCAAACACAGTTAAATAGAAAATATAAAATTAAGTTAACACTATCAAAGACTTCAACACGACTATATTGCTTCGTCATGTACAACTTTATGACCATTTTATTAATTTACCTCACTTAAACAAATAGAGAAATAAATTCAGAGTCACGTCAATGGCTTTTCTATATTCAATTTTACTAACCCAAGTGCAACAGACACTATTGAAATTGTGTAGTATTTGTGTATACTATACGTTGAAGACAAAAATACCGAGATTAATAATAAGTACCACGCAGGTAATTCCGGATGACGCTATGAAGAGACGAGGACAGTATTACAAAGCCAAAACCCTGATAACTAATTTCTAGCAAATTACTTTAATATTCCTAGAATATGTATTTCAAATTACATAACTATCTTTTTCAAATGTATTCAATTCAATATCCACTGAAATAACCTAAAACTAACAGTCAGAAATGGACGACAAACAATAAAAACGAATTTCAGGTAGGGATGGCAATCTATTGGCCAAAGAATCGATTTCTCGATCCAAAAGAATCGATATAGTACTGAATCAATTCAGTGAATTTATCGGAAATTGACTTTTATTTTTATCTTCTGCTAAAAACCTACAAATTAATTCGTAATATTGCAAGTGATGAATGATAAAATCTTTGCAATGACCTACATTCGACATTTTCATCGTAGTGTTCCAAAAAACATCATCTGGTGACTATACATCAGATATGTGGTGATGACTTAAAGCAAATAATAATACCCATTAGGAGTTTCAAAATATGTCAAGTTTTGTTGTGAATATAAAATCGATTGTGAAGTAATTGATTATTATTTATTGACAATGGTTACCACAACGTTGGCAAAATCAGCGACCTCAATGACAATGGTTTCATTATGCTAAAAAATATGGATTAAACAAAAATATGCTTGTTATGAAGTATCTTACATCCCGAAAAGATTATGAAAAAAAAATGGTGGATTATGAAAATCGATTATGATGATAATGTCGATGCATCGATGTTAAGTATTTGATATCATCGACTAAAAAGAACTGAAAGGTATGCTGCTAAATCGAGATATACTTTACGAGCTAAATAGACGTAATTTGAAATGAAAAAGCCGTAATGCCAGTAAAATAACAATAATTCTTAAGCTATTTTATCTATCTAAGATATTAAATTATTTTCCGAAACACTTCTGCCCTGAAAGAGAAAGAGACTAACTGCTAAGAAGCGCGTCTCTTTCTAGGACAGTGATTTCAATTCTAGACATTTAATAAAATAAAATATTATTACATATTATTAATATTTGATAATTATTGCTGTTGGCAATTAATATAATTATGTTAATAAAATAAAACAATGTAAAATATTATTACATATAATTAATATTTGATAATTATTGCTGTTGACAATTAAAATAATTATGTTAAATGATGTCTTCATTTTTTCTGGCCCAATATTAATAAGTTATCGACAGATTTTTAATAAAGATAAACTTAACCTTTCTCATAGTTCAAGCACTAAGTATCTTTGCATAGACAGCTTTGTTGCAAAATTCACATAAAACAATAAAAAACTTACCATCAAACGGGCCGCACACACAAATTTTTATATAAAAACAAACGCGTACGGACTTACTTGTTGAACAGTCGAGATTAACTATTTTACCTGACGTAAAATCAAATTTCTCTTATGTAATGTTCTATAATTAACTCATCCCGAGCAAATCTCTGTTTTAGGTGTTCTAACGCTAAACGGGATTGGTTTGATGCACAGAACTTTTGTCTATCTGTGCCTCTTATACATTGAGGTATTAGCGGTAATTACTTTTCGTTCAATTGGTGTGTCAGTTGACTTATTTTCGATGATTTTTAACGGGAGATCCGCATTTCGGAGAATATACAGCTATTCTCCGAAATGACTTTTTGACACAAACAGACAGACAAAAATTGTAAAACATTTTATTTTTTGGGGTCTGTACGGCACAGATTTATATTCATATGCATGCAGAAAAAACGGTTATTTCAATATTACAATCAGACACTTCAGACAGATGTAGGTATAGATGTTTATGTTATATTCAGTCCAGTAAAATTTTACATTAAACATGATGTGACCAGTTTTGGCACAATATAAAACAATAAGGCCGCAAATCCATGAATAATAATATTTAAAAAGAAATTTTGTTTTAAGTTGACGGGAAAGGGATGAAAAAACTTAAAAAGGGTTGTAAAACGCTTTTTTTAAAATAACTCGATAACGGTAAGAGATATGAAAAATTATTTTAAATAAAAGTTGTAGATAATAAAAATCTGCACAAAACATGTCCTTTTCATTTTTTCATTATCTGTTGTTGTTTAACCACAACAATTTTAAATAGATATAAGTTTTATAATTATAAAGCTGTTTATGATCCTATATAAATTAAAAAATGTCTCTCATTATGCCATCTGTGATAATAGGACATTATATTTAATAATATACAGTAGAGTATTATATCAATTATAAGCCAAATATGCATGACATACCGACCAACCGACCGGGCCATTTTTATGTTTTTGTTTACAAAACCTAAGTAGGAAATATACTTAATATTACTACTAAAGACGTACCATAAATAATTATTTTATTACGGGCTACAGCCAAATAAAAGTAAGTTTAATTTCAATTTAAATATCTTAATTTCTAAAGTTCATCTTTCACTAATTTCAACATTTCGTCTTCATCCTCACTCCATTCATCAGGGTTAGACGTCATTTGCCCCAGTGCCTCCATTCGCCTCTCCATTGTCACTTTGTCCAAAATATGTTCCATCTTCATATGCATACAATCATTGAATACAGAAGCATACTCGCATATCTCAAATATACTCTCTACCACATCGGAACATTCCACAATTGCCGCTTTCAATCGCGCCATCACTTCGCTATCCTCACCGTACACTGCTGCATTCGCCGCTAGCAGATTAGATTGATCAATCTTGTTTTTAACTATAATCGCATTCCTTTTAAGAATACAAGCTACAAAACATTGCCCTTGCGTAGTAGATTGTGGAATCCTCTTTAAAAAGTTTTCGACGTCAGCCATCGATGCCGTAACTTGTCGCGCGCATTCCGTCAAATTTTTTCGAAACGGTTCGACATCTTCGTTCATCTTGTTGATGCGATCCAAATGTTCGTCCTTTGTGAGCGGTGTGTATGAGATCGCTGGATAAAAAGCGGACGCGAATATTAAGAACATTGTAATTGTGGCGAAATTTGTTGAAGACCACATTTCTGCACGTTTCGAGTCCCGCGGCCGTTTCGCTCTGCTAATTTCATCCTCTGTGCGAATTGTGATTTTTTATTAAGACTAATTGGCCATTATATTTCTATAAATTGTGTATTCATACGGTTGAAATACACACGTGTTACTTTGATATTGGAATGGTTGGTACCTACACGATATTTGCACGTAATACATGCTATAGGCACTTTATAGTTACTATAGTGACTGATAAAACGGTTAAACGTGCCGTTTTATTTAGGCTTTAGTTAAACTCTCCAGCTTCGCACAAAAGTCCTAATCAAATGAGAATGCTGTAAAGGGAATTGGTCTCATTTGATTAGGACTCTTGTGCGAATTAAGGTAACACAATTTTTGCTAAATTGTATACAGTTGTTGAAACCTCTTTTAAAAATAAAAATGGCTGTGCCAGGAGCCTCCTCTTTTTTACTCTATTTATTCTTCCATAGCTTTTACAGTAAGTCTTTAAAATATTTCTAATTTATTATAGTTTCTTTATTTATATAATTTAATTTTAAATGCATACATTATAGGAGTCTGACTGATAATATGCGCGTCTTGAAATGAGATTGCAGTGTGTTTGAGTGCAGTATCATGATGTGCAGTGAGAGAGAGACATATATTATGATTATGACTCTGTTTGTATTTTTATATGGAATTCCTAACGCTATTTTTTTTTGTTTTCCGTACAATTTTTTAAACATTTTCTTTTATTTATATATTTTAAACCTTATCCTGGCAACAAAAATTTAATTAGCCAAATAGGTAAAATCACTTAGATAGATACATTCCCCAATTTCCTTTGCAAACAGCGGGTGGTCAGTTAAAGCAAATTCTATTAGGATTCTGTGGTTTTACTCGCTGTTCGTTCTCACTTAGGTATTTTTGCCCGCAGCTGCCTTGCAAGAGATGCTGCAATATTCATGCAGTGAAGTTATTGGCAGATACAGACGCATTAGTCATCTATAATGGCACGACGTACCAATCACAGTCCACCTGTTTTTTTTAATCCTTTTTTTGTAATTTAATTGACAAACAAGCTTCACAGAACGATTGGCAACAAGGCAGATAGCACTCCAAATCACTGAAAGGCTTTATGGAGTGGCTGAAGGCTAAGTCCTGATTATACGGAAACAACTTTAGTCTGAGGGCGCCTGCTAATAATAATATATAATAATCCCAGGACAATTCACACAGCGCCATCTAGTCCCAAGTTAAGCTAGCTAAAGCTTGTGTTACGGGTACTAGATAACTGATACAAGTACATAGATTTTTTTTTGTATGTATGTACATATTATACATAGAAAACACCCAGACCGATACAAACAATCATACTCATGAATACAAATGTTTGTGCCGTGCGAGGAATCGAACCCGCGACCGGACGTAAAGCGGTGTGCTATACCGCTTGACCGCCGAGGTCGTCAAAGGATTCTATTCTATTCTAGGAATCTCAACTCAGGCCGCAGTAATTTCTGCCCCCGTTCGAATTGTACATGGGATTGATTGATTCTCTATCTCTTTGTGTCCGCAACCAGAAGTCATATGCATATATATACGTATGAAGACAGAGTACCATAATTATATTTTTATAGGATATTACTGTTCGGTGGAGTTGGTTAATGATGTTGAATGTACACTAGGATCTACTGTCATTATAAAGAATGACTCGATCAAAGACAAGTGACATCATTACACGATGATGAGATCTTTCTAGGACAGTGACTTCAATACTAGACAGTCTGAATAAAATAAGACAATGTAAAATATTATTACATATAATTAATATTTGATAATTATTGCTGTTGGCAATTAATATAATTATGTTAAATGATGTCTTCATTTTTTCTGGCCCAATATTAATAAGTTATCGACAGATTTTTAATAAAGATAAACTTAACCTTTCTCATAGTTCAAGCACTATCTTTGCATAGACAGCTTTGTTGCAAAATTCACATAAAACAATGATGAATGATGATGAGACGAGAGCAAAAAAAGGCATCGATGTTTTTGGAAATATTTGACAATACTAATGTCATGTTCAACCCTTCGAACGTCTTATCACAGATCTGTGCCTGCAAAACCGTGACATCTTTTTAAACAATTTCATCCTGATGTAAAACAAAATAATATTGAAACGCATTTGAAAAAATACAGCTAGCGCGCGCATACTGCCTCTTCACTTTCGGTGGCTGCAACAGACAACGGACATTCAAAAGGTAAAACAATATAATTATTATAAAAATCATAGACAAAAATAAAATTGTAATAGTCGTTGTTTGATTTGCTTATATTGTGGTTCAATAAAATAATACAACACTTATGTATACTTTATATTTAATGAATATTGGTATACATTTATCAACTAAATGCACTGGACTATCCATATGCTTAAATAATATCCTTATTACAAACAATCACACAATTTCAGTATCACATTAATGTTCTCTATTTTTGACAATAGAAAAACAAATGACTGTTTACATAACTTATAATAGGTAACTGGCATACAATACAATGTGGAATGTCGCATTAAAAATATATACATTTAAATCTAAGTAGGTATACATTACATATAGGCAGAGACAACCGAGTAGTAAGAGGAGAGTTAAAATCGAACGTTTTAAAAAAACTTTTGAAAAAATATTTATATTTTTTGTGCTTATTGCCGTAAAACATAAAGAGAAACGAAAACAGATAGATACAGAGCAACATAAAAGTATTTTTGTAAATATAACTATTACGGAGTTATTAGCGATAAACATATACGAAAGTGCCTAGGTACTTTCGTATAAACAGTTAATAAAAAAAAATGAATTGATGGTCTGCAAATAATTTAAGTCGCTGATTTCGTTTGTCTAATATTATATATAGATATATATGTCTTTATCAGAGAACAGAGAAATTCTCTGGTCTTTATTATATAGGTCCTTTTACCTTTTATATAACAATGTTATATTTTATTACAAGAGCAATAAAGTATATCATATACTTTCATATTCATGACTGTTATCCCGGATAATAATAATCCAGACCAATTTACATAACGATATAAATACGTAATTAGATGCATTATCAATTGTCAGTCACGTGATAAGGCAACACTTAACGTTTTTCTGCGTATATTTGAATACAATATGACAGGAGGAATAATTTCCTTTGTTATAGCTGTTTACATCGTCGGCGAGACAGACAGACATGAAATAACACATCGTTCTTTTAGTGTCGAATAAATACGAACTTAGGACTTTTCCTACTAAGTCATAAAAAGATTACATAATACCTACTTTACAGGGTAATTAAAATTTTTTTTTACTTCACATATTAATTATATTTTATAGATTTATTATTGATCCCATTGCTTTTTAATAAGAGAGTGATGCCGAATGGTATCTTAAGGTATTAAGGTTTATAAATATTTTTAAGTAATAATTAAGACAACAGTATTTATATAATAGGTACATCACTTAATTATGACAATCCGAGTGTTTAAAAATTATATTGTATCACACATTTGAATTTAAAAATGTAAAATTACAACGAAAATATTTAAAAGAGCAAAACGCAAGTTCCTTGCTCGTTCTTGAGAACATCCCGAATGAGAGGTAGATTAAAAAAAATTGTGATGACTATTCAAATGTGCTTCAATGTAAGTTTATTTTAATATGAATAAATATTTTTCTATTCTATTGCATTAGTATTTTTTACAAACATAGCGTAATAGTCATGCTTTTGAAATACATACTCTTGTAATTTTGCAGGTACTTTTTATACAAAGGAAAAATATACAAATTCGTACAAACATATTTTTAATTTTCACATGAAATTACAACAGCTATCCTTACAATAAGGTGCTGCCAAATTATTGGTGTTCCTTGCTATTAGTTAAACAAATTTCATATCTTGGTAGCATTGATTTATTTAAAACATATGTAATAATTTCAAATTATACCTTTTTTTTGGTTTTTATTTAGGTAGTAGGATCACTGATTTCTATCAAAAGTGATTCCCAATTAGTTTTTGCTGAGTACCACCTAAAAAAAGACCTCAAACCTTGCATACCCCTTATTGTAGCAATCACACTAATATTATATTAAGACAAAAACAAACTGGCGGGAAGCTGGAACGGGAGGCGGGAGACGGCGGCAGCCCAATGGTAAGATGCGGCAGGCGCGGGATAGCGCACGGTCGGTCAGTGCTCGGGCTCCGTGCTTTTACGATGTGATCGTTATAACATAATATTTTGGAAATTGTTCTTGTTTTTCCTGATAGCCGCACGTACCCCTTGATGTGACATCATGTACCCCTGGGGGTACGCGTACCACTAATTGGGAAACACCGATCTAATCGTATGGCCTGTAAAGGGGAATGGAAATAATTTGGTAGCACCCCATTTATGGTAAGAAATTAAAAACGTAACAAACAGGGTCACATTATTAGTCTCCAAGATTGAAGCCGTTAAAAGCGTGACCCTGTTCTTATAAATTCCTTACAATGCTTTTACCCTTCTCATACAAACTATTATAATAATGACCTTGAAAATTGAGCCTAAGCTACCGTTGGTTAAACGACTTTACGCATAAAGATAAGAGATTCTAAAGTCGTGTGAATTTTTTGTGATTTAGAATCCAGAGAATCTTTAGTAACTGTAAACTGGTTTTGACTTATAAAATATTATTTTATCAATTCTTTTGTAATAAGTACCTAGTATTTTACTACAAAATTAGTCTTATAGGTACATACTACACATACGTTCCTAAGTTAAAAGTTCTTTTTATTCGTAAAAAGGGCAGAATTTTATAAAAACTACATATATTTTTTTACTGTATAAAAATCACAAAGTATTGTAGATAAAAAAGAAAAAATATATAACAATAAAAGAAATGAATGTCTTGTCTATGATTTCTAAGAACACAATCTATGCCCTATATTTTTTTAATAAAAAAGAAACTTTAATCGTAATATTGTGCTAATCACAGCGCGCCTTTTTTCTTAATATACGTAAATAACGAAAGCTGGTGTTGAAATAACTAAATCCGTGTACAAAGTACGTAAGTAACACGTAATATAATTTAGTAATAACTAAAATCTGCCTATGCAACCAAACACAAAATTTACGTGGCGCAAGATTTGCCTACAAACATTGTTTGTCGACATTTTGAAATACGTTTTTGAGTCATTTTAAGACATTATATTTCTCAAATATATGCAATAGGCATGTATGATGCTTATGACTACAATAACTTATGTTGTTGTAATAGGTGTTTAACTAAATTCGATGAGAAGATTCTCAATTCAACAGCCATTTTTGTTTTTTTTTTAGATAATTTGTTTAAAATCAGTGTGAGTATAGTAAATATGTATTTCTTTTTTTAATTAATAATTTTTTTTCGATGCGGTAAGTTTAAAAGAATGTGACATACTTCGTAATTATGAATAACTAATACAAATAATTAGTATTTATCTATTTATTATATAATAAAAATCCTCTAAAAGCCATCGTAGCCAATACTATAAGTTCAGTGAGAAGATTCGTCAACGCAAAGTGATGTAAGTCGAAAATTATTATTTTGTTAATGTTGCCTAATACAGACGGCCATTCTGTGAAAATGTTCTTCCTATTCATAGCTAAGCTGATTTCTTGTCGGTGAAGCAATCGCATTTTGTTTTCATAATGTTGCATAGGCATTACAAATATATGGTTTATCTGTTTTATTAAATCTTTAACGTAATTTAGTTGCATACTGGTTATATATATTCTACGATTAATATTAAAAAAAAATAGCGCGGCTCCGGTTATAGATACCTAACTGACAACAATAAATAACAATTCATAAAAAAATACAGACTGACCTAAATCATGTGATGACTCATAAAATAATATAACAGTTAAGTATACTCGAACTCGACTATTGAAAACTCGAATATTGAAAAGAACGCTTGGTGACAATATACAGAAATAACTACAATGAACATAGCTATTTTAAATTTTCAATACAACATTTGAAAGACAGATAAGTCCATATGTAAACGATAGCTAGACACATCAAAGGACATCTGACTCTCCGTAATTAAAATTATTTCATATTACTACATAACTGAATAAATGAAGTAACTTTCTGATTTAAGTGTTCTGCACTATTAAACTATTATTATAAACGGTAGCTAGTTATTATTCGTTAATGTTGTAACCACACTTCAATATATGTCTGTATATGCATCACTATATATTAATATCAATTGTATACCAGATTGTCGAAGTTACCAAAGAAAAAAATACCAGGCAATCAGCGAGACAGCGGTAGTCACTGCGATGATTCACTGAGTCACAGGCGCTTTTTATTCTCCGGTAAGTGCATAATCATTACAGAGAGCACTTTCATGCGCTCACAAAAAAAAATCTCGCTTTCACTTTTCGCATCCCATTGCAAAACAAACACAACCTCGTTGCGACGTGTCGCAAATTCGCATTATATATGCGAAAACAAATCAATCACAAAAACCGATGTTGTATCGGTTAGGTAACGGTTTTAGCTCTCCTCGCCTTCCACGAGGACCGGTAGACTGGCGTGATGCTGACTATGCGGCGAGGAGCGAGTCGTGAACGCAGCCAACCATGCCTCCACATTGCGTTCTGAGCACACAAACTTAGCCGACACGGTATTGTCATAACCTTTTTGTCTGACAACAAAACCACTGTTGTTCTCGTCTCGGTCTACTGATGTGTTCCTCAGGTTGACCACGCCGATGGCCTTCGACAATCTCTTCCTCGGATATATAACAGCAAAGTGCTCCAACGTTGTTCTGTACACCACAACTCTTACGTCCTGCCGCATGCCGTCAGGTCCCAAAAGCACCAAAAAGCCGGACTTAACCTCTGCATCGATGTTCTTTTTCCTGTTGAAATTGTCGCTCAAATGGACACCGCGACACGCAGCCGGCATGATGTCGGTTGGCATTTCACTGTTTTGTTATTAACAATCAACTATTCTCATAACAATTCAGTTTGAAAGCAATGTTTTCGTTAATGAACGCCGTGCGCGCGAAACACGTACACACAGTTCGCAATATGAAAGGTACTGAAGAGATATTTTCCGAGCGACCTCTATATATAACCTCAGAGGGCCGACAGCATTCGTGCACTCTCGGTTTTGATCGTTATTTGCATTCACTTCAGTGCTCAGAGGCTCTGGATGTTCGTGGGGGCTGGGGCAGACATAAACCAACAAAATGAGAGATACGTCTGCGCCGGAATGTAGCAATTATAGGGGGTGTTTCGCAATTTATTCGGATTATATTGAGGTCATGATACTCATTTTTGAGTTTAAGTTCACCGTTGCAGTCTATCCGGCTGAAAATAGTATTCATTAATTCAGGTACTTCAGTTGATCGTGAAAGAGCGGATATATTTTTATACACATTTTGGACTCGTAAATATACATAAAGCAATTTTTCTTTAAATGCATTCCTATACATATTTGAAGGCAACTTTATGTGGCAAAGAGATTGTTGGCTTATATTATTGTCAAATTTTATTGTTTTTTTCTTATCGAACAAGTACTTATATATTGTAACCTTGTAGTGGTTCCATGCTAGTCGAAAAATAAGTATAAAAAATTGGGAATTTAATAAAACCTGTTCGCAGATGGCTGAGGATTGACCCCATAAACAATATTTCGACATTGTTATTCATCTTTTAAACTTGTATAACTACTTTATGTGTTATTGTACTCTGCTTAGCCTTCGACTTTTAGGCGCTGTGGTATTCAGAATAACAATAAATAATAACCCAGGACTATTAAGACAGCTCCATGTAGTCCAAAATAAGCAGAGCTTGTGTTACGGTTACTAAACAATTGATAGATATACATAAATACATTTTTTTGTAAATGCATACATAGAAAACACTCAATCATACTCATGAATACAAATGTTTGTACCGTGCGAGTAATCAAACCTGCGACCATCGGAGCTAAGACGATGTGCTAAACCGCTAATAACATTTTTATTTATAAATAACAAAAATAAATTTAACTTACCGCGTTACATTGATGCAAAACGCAACCTAATAGATAAAAAACAAACAGTCGAAAATTCTATCAATAAGTGAAATCAATTATTGTTTTGGTTTATTTTAGTTATTTTTTTTTAGTTAAACAGCGCCATCTTTTTTAGATACCTAAAGCTTTTCCCCACACAGAGATGGGGCCCGCTGTAGAGTGGGCCACCGCGCCATCTATGGCGTTGGGTGAGGGACATCTTGGATTTTTTAGTGAGTAGGAGTCTCACAGTACCCGCGGGCTTCCCCCGGGGCCGGCGGGTCTCCATGAGGGATTTTCTCCAAGTTAAAAAAAAAAAAGGTACCTAAAGCTTGTGTTATAGGTACTGGATAACTGATAAATACATAGATATATATTTTTTTCGTAAATATTATAAATATATAGAAAACACCCAGACCGGTACAAACAATCATACTCATGAATACAAGTACTGCATCGGTAGTATAACGGTTTAGCACACCGCTTCATTTCAAATGGTCGTGAGTTCGTTTCTTTACACAGTGCAAACATTTGTATTTATGAGAATGATTCTTTGTATCGGTCTGGGTGTTATCTATGTATATTATTTGTGTATTTACAAAAAAATATATATGTAAGTATTTATATCAGTTGTCTAGTACCCATAACACAAACTCTGTTTACCGTGGGACTAGATGGCGCTGTGTGAATTGTCCAAGGTTATTTATTTATTAATATCGACCACAGGGGGACTACTAGTTTTGTTAAATTAACAAAATGTAATCAATACATGTACTTTGCATATAGTTAATTTTCTAGAACCTGAAATAATAGTATATTTTTAGTATATACCTATTTTAGTATTTTAATATATACGTAAATACGTACGCGAACTAAAAGCAAAATAAGAGTAATCACAAGCGCCAAAAGTGTTTGACCCCGGCGTGGGTGGGAATCAAAAGGTAGGTACGATAACCTTTTTGAAAGAAAAATATACTCACAACTACAATATAATCACAGACAGGGTAGCCAAAGTTTACCTAAACTAATATAAACCAGATAGACTTTGTATAAAGATATCTGCTTCTCGTTTGGTTGGCTTCGTTTTGTAAAATTAATTTTATGTTTATTTTCCGTTTTGTTAGATGAAATATTCCAAACCGAAAATTCACAACTTCCAGAGACTTTTAATTGCATGACATCTTAGTCATCGGAAACAGAAAAGACGTTCTATGATGTCGTGATATCCGAAATGCTGTTATAGATATATAGGTAGGCGAAAGTTATCATTTTCATCAGATGGGTCTACAGAATCTTACTAATATTATAAACGCGGAAGTGTGTGAGTGTGGATGGATGTGTTACTCTTTCAAGCAAAAACTACTGAATACATTTTAATGAAAGTTTACAATAATATAGCTTATACATCAGAATAAAATAATTTCTCGACTGCAAACCCCGAGGACCAGGCAGACGGAACAGTCATGACAACAATTATGTTTTTATACTTAACATACCCAAACGGTCAGTCCAATTTATCACTAATTCCCATTTATCATTTTATATTTTGTTAGTTTCTATATATATTAGTTCTTAAGGTATATTAAAATGTATTATAAGATAGATGAATTTATAGATGATAGCAATTTATAGCAAGAATATGTTTATTTGCGGACAACGTTATAATTTTAATTTTCATACTGCTTTCTTGATATATGATAGCGTAGCGGCTTTTGTATTGATTGCCGCATGCATCAATGTAAAGTGCGAATACTGTAACTACCATATAGTAATTTTTGTAGCTGTGACGTGGTCGTGTGGAATGATAGTCATGCTCACTAAAACGGCGTGGTGGGCCGGGTCAATGGGCTATCACAATTATGGTCGAGCGCAGTGATGGCTTATCCGTCATACTCGTGAACGACTGCTGCTTGTAACTGGTCTGCTCTTATCACTACGACTGATTTAATCATTGCGCGCAATTTATATTTGACCCAAAAATTAGTGCTTGTTGGTAGTTTGTATTCACACGTTTCGACTTGTAAATGTAAACTTACAAGGATTATTTAAAAGAATTTAACACACAAAAGTTTCTTGCTCGTTCTTCTTGTGATGAGACAGCTTTCCGAACGATAAAAAACAAAGATAAAAAACGTAGATAAAAAACAAATTGTTATGACTATTCAAAAGTGCTTAAATTAAGTTTATTTGAATAAATGATTTTCTATTCTAATCTATTCTATTCTAAAATACAGGCTAATGTTGGTACAATATTATGTTATCAGAAATAAAATTGACTAACAGTCAACTATAGAACACAGTCATCAGGATACAAATGATTAGAGGAGGCCTTTGCTTAGAATCAATCAGATCAAGAACTATCAGATATAGTGTAAACAACAAAAAATTGTTACGTCTGATTAAAGGGCTATAATGATAAACAATCCGGTCCCCAGCATTAGGAAGACCATCAGCATATTTATCACAATTTGCAGTAGTAGAAAAAAGTTTATGTAAACTGATTAAAACTGTAGCCCTAAGGGCAATCAACTTTGAAGGTCACTCTTTGTCAGTTGGCGCGCAAATAACGGAAAAATACCATAGTACATTAACCGTAACCGTTTGTACCTAATTACGATCGAAACACATCTCTAAAAAGTTTAATAGTTTCAGTACTTAGAAATTTAAATTAATTTAACCAAAAAGGGCGGGAGGAATTGCGATAAATTTTTCACAGAAATTGTTAAATATAGCTGACCCGTGCAACTACATTTGCGTTTAATTTCCCCATCTTTTGCAAAATTTTTCATTGCAGCTCCGTTCCTATTGGTCGTAGAGTAATGTTATATAGATGATACCTTCCTCGACATATGGACTATCCAACACAAAAATATTTTTTCATTCGAACCAGTAGTTCCTGAGATTAGCGCGTTCAAACAAACAAACTCTTTGGCTGTATAATAAAAAATAAAATAATAATATAATTAGTATACATAGACTAAAGCAAGTCGGGAAAATATACCCCAAAGGGAGCAATTTCAATACGCCATCTAGAATTTCATTAATTATTTAAATAATCCAATATATGCTTTCTTTATAGTAGTCGTTTGATCATCATCTATGGATCCAAGAGTACACGTGTACGAAGTCAGGGGCAAGCACGACTTTTTTTTTTGTGGATGATAATGAATGGTGCGTGGGGAAGAAATGTATTTATAACAATATAAAATATCATTTCTTCTTGTAACTTAATAATATACTGTACCTAAGGTCTAACTTGGCCAGTTCTCATATACCAATTATTACTTTCGATTGCTAGTTACTATTAATATTAAAATAGGAACCGACAAGTAACATGTTTAGAACTTCCGAAGGCTACAATATATTTCGTATATGAAAACTATTAGACAAGTTAGACCCTAGGCTACAGTATATTATCCTAAGTTATAAGAAGAAATGATATTTTATATTGTTATAAATACATTTCAGGACAGACCATTGAACTTGGCACCCATTTAGATCTCATCTCTTTTGTCGTAGAAGTCAACAATCAAGGCATATATCATAATATTAAACTCGGCTATCATTTCACATTTATGTTTTTGATGGGATATCATTACTTTTTGTACATAAATTATACTAGGTACATATTTATAACTAAATTAATATTATTTTTGATAAATTACTGTATTTTCGTATATTTACGGGGTATAATTGTAATATTTTCTTGTAACTTTTAAATGTTCAAGTGCAATGCCAATTCAGTATCAGGAATTTTTGGGCAAATCGTTAACGTCCACAGATGGTTGTACTCTACAATAGAGCTCTCGTGACTTGGATCTAAATTGTTAAGACGTACTCCATCTAAGGTTTTAACTCTGGAGAGTCCAACGTAAACCTGCCCTTTATTAAATATAGAGGAGGCCGTTGAGAAGAGGACTGCCAAAACTAAGGCCTTGTGATTTGTGGATAGTAATAGCATATGTTAAGCAAATACGGAATTGTTCTCTTTCAACATATACATTATTTAATATCTGAAACTTCGTATTGA